GAGCATGCCAGGCCTTGGCCACCCCCCCCGACAAAAAGACGCCGCCTTCTTTCCCGCAGGCAGAGAGGTCTTGATTGTTTTGCTTCCCCTGCAGTAGCTTCCCAATGCCCGCCATGGGGCAGTGGACTTACCCAGCAGGAAGGACAGTGGCAGCAAAGGAGGTCCACTGACAATGCAGCAAGAGTAGGCACAGGAGCAACAAACAAAGATATGTCTCACCTGGTCCACATGCCAGTAGCAAGAGCGGTAGACGCTGGTGCTGATGAGGGATCACAGGCGACGGGCGTGTTGGGAAAGGAGTCAGCGAGAGACACCAGTGCTATGGAGCGTGCGGCTGTTTCTTCCTGTTCGCCGTATTACTGTTCCCCGTCCTGGATCACCGCCGACAATGAAGGAGCAGGAGCCGAATCTACACAAGGCGACGTGACAGGACTCTATTGCTGCTCCCCTGCCGCCTCCCCCGCAAGCGGGGCCGAAGAGGTGCTGCTTTGCAGACAAAGGGGAAGGCAAAGCGAACCATATGGAAAAACCACCGAGGGAACTCCTGGTGTAGGAGCTGCTACCGCAGCTGCTGTTTGTGCTGCAGCGGCTGTACGGGACATGGCGGCAGCAGCTGCTGCAGCCACTTTGACGGGGCAACAAGAGCACGAACAGCAAACACCACCGTCGAGGTTTCGGCGAATGTCCTGGAGCGCAGAAGCCAGTCTTAGTGGTGCAACAGCCGCCGTAGCAACATCAACGGCGACTGCAGCAGCTCGAGCAACAGTCACATCAGCGGCAGTAGCAGCAGAAGGAACAGCATCTAGCGGGCAGTCGAGCTGCTGCCAGTACAGCATGAGCAAGTCAACACCAGCGGCAGCGTCTCCCGCAGGACAACATAGCTCAGCTGGAAGGCCCATTCTAAAGGCAGCAGCGGGCAATACAGGAGCTACAGCACTCGGCGCGGCAGCAGCACCAGGAAGGTCAGCGGCACGGGCCTCCGACTCTTGCGTACCGACGCTCGGCGATTCGGTTCCTTGCTGCCCTGTACCATTTGAGAAGGCAGCTGTTTCGTGTGCGTCGCATGCGGGAGCAGAGAAAGGTTCACAGGAGGGTGCAGACGGCAAAGATTTAAAGAATTCCACAGATGCGGGCTTGGACACGGGTGTAGACAGGAAGGGCGTTCAGGGGAAGGTTGTCAGTAAGGACCTCAGTGCTACGGGCCTATGCAGGGGTTCCGCAAAAGATTTGGACGGAGGAGGAGGAGGTTCGGGTGCCGGGGGTTGCGTGCGTTACGGTTCTTTGGCGCGTATAGCACAGGGGTTGTTGGTGGGAAGCTCATCATTGGGTAGGGGTTCAGGCTTAGGCATATACACGTGTCGCCCGTTTAGCCGGCGTGCAGTGATATGCGAATACAGCGGGATTTTGATCGACAGGCGCACCGCCTTGTTGTTGCGGCACATGGAGTGCGCCTCGCACGTAGTGAACGTGCAAATGCAGCACCTGTACCTTCTGGGGTTTCATACGCCTTTCCCTTTGCTTGGCGGGGGCGCATTCATCAACGATGGCCGATGGAATACTAGGGGGGGAGAGGGG